AAACAAGATGTGATACTAGAGGAAAAATGTGTTTTAAAAAAAAAAAGTAAAAAGGTGTGAATGACAAATTAATTGTGTGACGGGACCTACGACAAATCTCAAAAACAGTTTACGCATAATATAAGGTGCACGAAAAATATCCATTAACGAACAAAATGTGTTAAATTGCTAAGTTTTGTTATAGCGCTTCTCGTCCGCTCCTGATAAGTCACGTCACGTGTGGAAAAAAAAACAATAAAACCATTTCAAACGTCGACAGCGTGGTGTGTACGTGAATCCTGTTTCGGGTTGTATTTTTTTTTTTTTGCTATACTCGTAAAGTTTAAACGAAAATCAGCCGACCAGAAACGGATCGTGCATGAAATGCACCACCTATGCCGAAGTTTTTGAATAATCTACGCAGTGCGTGTGCATTGGGTACGCGTATGCTCGATGGGGATAGTGATGAGGAGGGGGGGGCGAACCCATATTATACGCGCGGAACGTAAATCCGGACGGTATTTAACTCCACGACCCGCCCGACGTTATTTAATAATAATAATAATAATAATAATAACATAGTCGTTTGAACCCTCGCCTTCAGGTTTATACGGTTCTGATACCTTTCGTTTCCACGAGCAATCCGCACAGTAGCCGGAAATCATTCTCTTTATTGCACAATGATGATATAGGTACGTGATATAATATTCTACAAAGCGGCAAGCATGATATATTATTATAAAGTCAGCTAGTCGAAAGACGCGCACCGTGTCTTATGGTTTAATATTAAGGCGCTAAATCCAGTGACGAGTACCTGGATTAAGAGGGGAGGCTTAAAAGTGTAAACACGATGACATAATATAGTTATATACTACAATGTCATTGCACATTTTAAAATTAAATACGATTTCAACATAAATTATGACATATAGTTACCACTACTATATACAAAATAATTATATATCAACCTACGGGTGCCCCATTCGAAATTCTGCCAAAACAAACACACACGTGTTCCCCCTACCGTTCCAAAAACCTACAAACCATCAATACAAACCTACAATACCTACTAATAGCTAATGGCCACAGTTGCCGGGCTCAAGATCAATAAAAAAAATTATACATCAATATCATCAGTTGTTTTGATTTTGTCAATTGTTTGCAAATATTTTAAAAACTATATAGATATTTACTATGGTAGGCGGAAAAAAAGCCCACGGAAAATTCGAAAAAGCGTTATACCATAATACTTAACAGTACATAGTATAGATAACAGCTGATAACAATCATAAATAATAATAAGAACTAAAGGCCTAGCTAGTAACTGATGCTAATAAAATGAAAAAATAAATAAAAATAGTAGTTCTATTGGTGTGTAGGTATCCATTCCCCTTGTACTAAACTTAAGCAACAAACTAATATTATAGGTATTATCACAGACTAAATAATTTCATTTTTTTTTAATCTATAGTATTACTGCCTCTTTTGTATCAACTTATTGTTTGTATAATAGATGTGTAATTTTTCAATTTTTGTATAAATGTTTTATAATATTATACTAAATACATCTAAGACTGATATTTTTTGACTGTATGACTGTATATGTATCATTAACTACCTAAAAATTACATGTGTTCTCATTTATATTTAAATTTTTTAGGAGGATTTTTTTTCTGTGGACTTATTTGCGTTGGTTTTTTTCGCGATCTCATTGAGACCAATTTAATAATTTTTATTTATCGATACATTTTCGGAAGAAAAGAAAGTACTCTGTCTTGTCGATGTATTAATGGAACTCTTCATATTATTTAAATACCGGCAGAGAAATATATTATTTTTTAATTTTACTAATTTAATTATGTTTTATCTTATTGTACATTTGCATAATACTAGAAAAGTATCCGAGTTAATTTTTACGTAGTCGGTTCGATAGAGCAATAAATCCAGACATACATCACGATCTCAATTTATGGATGGATTCTTAGCACAACTCTATTCGAACCGGCCAATGCATTCAATATGTCTTGTTATTATTAAATTACCGTTTGTAAAATGTATTATGTATTATGTATGTTGTGTAAGACCAATGTTGATATTATGATCATCTCTAATATATATTGATTTTTACAATAACATATAATACTATGCCTAAAGTCAAAAGGTGTGAATTCCCTGCTGTGACTATAGACGACAGCCGTCGTGTAATTACGTTTCAGGGAAACTGTACATTAAGACATTTATCTCAATATGTCACTTATAAAATTAAGGTACTATCGATAGTTTCCACTTCCCAGTATTTGACATTAGACACAACTAATAACAAGTCAACAGGATTTGTTTATCCTGTAATAGTGTACAATGAATTAAAATTTAAATATTATGTAATGATTTGAAAATAATTAATGAAATTTAATAACAGATTTATTTCAAAAAGTATTTGCATAAAATAAGTTATGTGTTTACATTAATATTATTAGTTATTTGGCTTAAATGAACATTTTTAACCGTTATATTGACCAAACCGTAAGATGAAATTAAGTTTGTATTTTTAATGGCAGTAATAATTTTATACTGACATAATTATCTTAATTCTACAACACTGCATAGTTTTTTTTGTCTATTAATATAATATGAATAATAATAAAAACAAAAATTAAAGCATTAAAAAACTGCATTTAAATTTTAAACACCTTGCAGCAACTCAAAACAAATAGGTACTAAGGTAATAATTTAAAATAATATTTTTTTCTGGTTTTTAATTATTCTTCGTTTTGGTATGTAGCAAACATTGGTACATATTTTAAAATAAGTAATATTTCAGTTTTATATATTGTTTGTGTAATTACAGTTTATAATAATTGAAATTTTATTAAATTATAAAAGTTCTAGCTTTCTACTTCCTACTGTTCTATATAATATATATACTTAAATACTTGAGAACAATATCTAACTATTCATTAAACTTAATTTATTGCTTTTTATTTTCTCGAAACTATTTTCTATTCTGTTAAATGGCAGGTTAATTTATAAGTACCTAGCTGATATGAATACAGAACTCATATAATTGCAAAATTAAAATAAAATAATTAAATCAGTCTACTATTTTAGCTATGCTCGGTACCGAATAAATAATATACAAGATTCACTGTGTGATTGAAACGAGACGCTTGTGTCCCATATCATATATCTCGAAATGTATTTAGCCTAAAATATATACAATATAGTTCGTAAGTAAAATCCATCAGTAGGTACCCTTACAATAATTAAAATAGTAATATATTATATCCTTAACTTGCAGGCATCTTATTATTATTATCCGTATACGTTATCTTAAGTTTCTAAAGTTATCTTTCAAGCCATACAGTTTTATTAGTAATTAATAGCGTTTAGGTATGCTCGTTTTTGGTGAATCAAATTTACTATTGACGACTCACTGTAGCATTTGTGTGTAGTTATATAATGCCCATTCGTGTTATACGATGTCGTCTATTATAGACGTGCAGTATGTATTTGTATACATACTATGTATAATAATAATATATGATTTTATATTTTACTTTATATCAACTGGATGGACCGATGGGATTTACCCTTTTTGTTTTACTAGTTAAACGAGAAAACTGGAAAACACGGTGAGCGATCCTCAGTGTAATATTATTATCCTTCCGGCGAAACTTATTCGTCGGCATATACGAACAACGAACATTCGGATAATAATAATATATAATTAATAAGCCGCGCCAGAGCTCAAATTATACTGTACACATACAATAATAATATACTATATTATTAAATATTATAACATTATCGTATAATATCGACTCATCCCACAATACTGGCGATATAATGTATATATTAAAATATATTATAGAGGAGCAGCCTGGCCTTATTGTTATATAATAATAATATTATCGTCTCCCGCAACGGTTTTGATGGATATATCATATTCATATTGTATAGCATTGGATGAACGCAGCAGTTTGCACACGCACACGAACACGAATATTGCAAATATTAATATTTCAACTGGTTAATAATAAGTATAATAATATTATGCATATCAATAATGCGCATATAATAGTCGTACCTATATAATATGTACAGCAGCGAAGTGTTGTACCAGCAGTTATGTATAATATATTTACGCGCTTGTGTGTATATATACATATATATCCGGTAGTGAGGTGAGCGGCTTAGCTATACATATTTATATTATACTATTATAAACATATATGTGTACCTATTGCATACATGTATAAGATAATACACGCATTTCCGTTCAGTTCTTGTTTTATTCACGGCCCACGCCCCTCGATTTTTTATTCATAGCTGGCATCAACGAGCGCCACCACTGCGGCCCTGCTGCAGTTGTCCAGTACCATTACTAGCCTTAATTCGCCGCCGTCGAGTGAAACACACATTATTTATTTATTTTACTTATATTTTTTCTATTAAGTCGGTACACGCCAAGACGGAAATTATGCACTATAATAATGCATAAAGAAAATAAATAGTTATTACTACTCAGATTAAATAACAAGATATTATATAGTGTATCGGTATGTAACAAAACGCAAACTAAAATATAGTTTGATGATGGATTTAGAGTGTATTGAGAAAAAAAACATTTGGCAAAAGTATACTCATTATTCAATTTTTGGATACTTCTTTTTGTAAACCATAGAATTTCTAAAGCTCTACAGACCTTCACGTCAATGGATATGTAGTGACCTGGCGAAAGGGCAGACGAGGAATGAATCTTGTTATTTGTACTTATAGATGACATCGCCTGTTGTAGTGGGGATCCATTAAGGATTTAATATGAATTGAGAAGAGGTGAATGCGATATGATATTAAGGACCTATACTTGATAGGTGTTTAGAGTTAAAGACCAATATTTGAGACTAGTTAAGTAGTTAAGTGTACAGTAGCTTCCTGAATATTATGTTATACACTATTACGCTAAATAATGTTCCATATCATATTGACGTTAAACAATATATTTGCTTGCACAAACTCACCGAGTGGCTGATCACTGCTTTTCCATATGTAACTGTACACCGTGCCCGGATCAGTTCGCCGCCATTCGCCCCGCCAACCTCGTCGAGATATGGCGCTGTTGTTGTTGTTGTTGTTGTTGTTGTTGTTATTATTGTTGTTACCGATGTTTGAGTCCAGGGGCGATCCGGCTTGAGGTTGACTTGGCTGCCCAGTTTGTGGTCTACAATTGCCATCTGCGAGTACAAATACGATATTATAATGTTAGAAAAAAAATACAAAACATTAAGAAATACAAATAATTATATGCACGTAGATACCTACATTGTAAGGCTCATTAATAATTATTCCCATTTTGTTTTTAAACTGTTGTTTTATCTAGAGCGCAGTAAGTGAACAGCTTCCTCCACAAATTATTCGTGTGAAACTTTTGACCTTTACCATGTACTAAATTTACCTATTTGTTTTAGTTAACAGATTATAAGTACCTTTATGAATAAAAATTGAAAAAAACTACTATTGTTGAAATATTATTACGTTAAAAGTCAATTGTATACTGTTAAATTTTGGTTTGTTAGGAATATTGCTTATAATGAAACATAGATTACAATAATCAACCGAACACTCGGACTCTTGAATTCCACTGGAGCCAATTTTGGTTTAGATCGTAACAAGTATTCTATCTAATATGTGACTACTCACTGCAGTATTGCACTTGTATAATATGTGTAGACTATTGACCTCTACAGTTATAGGAAGATACTTTCGAAAATAAATGTAGATAATATGCATTTTAAAATAAATATTTATTTTATACACTTAGGCTAAAATATTTAATTATCAACTAATAGTCTATAAACTATAATATAATGTGTAAAATATGCTATTAGGATAACTATATACAATAGTATTAAATTGTGCGGGCGTGAAATGATTATTTTAAATGTACGAGTAATAAAATAAACCTTAATATAATGAATTATTATTACAGTGTTTGATCTTCTGACTGGTGGTGATTAATTACAACCACGTTCACAATTATACATCAAAAACACTAATGGTGTTTAAACGTAGAAATATTGAAAACTATCGCTTACGCGTGCTACAAGCTTAAAACATTTATACAACCATAATGAATGTGAATTAATTTTCAATACGTCGAATTCATTTTAATCAAAATGTTATCGATTTGTAAATGATAAATTGATAATTTAAGTGCAAATACTGCACACACACACACACACACACGTAACACGTACACACGTACATCATTATACTGTGCGTTCCCAGTCTGTGGTATTAATAATAAAGAATAAAAATACAAAATACATTTTTTTTTATTGTATTTTTAATTATATAATAAAATTAAGTCCCTTAAAGCTTATTTAAATAACAAAGTCATTTAATGTCGTTATTATTTAATTAGGTTTATACTCGGACAAATTGTTCATGTAAACTTGTATTGAAGGAAAACTGAAAATTATGTCATCGCTTAAATCAGTAATGGTTAAAATGGGTATAATGCCATGCTTAAAAATAATTGTAAATTAGTACGTTTTTAATTATATAGTATGTTTTATATTTTTCTAGTATCACGTTTAAAATATTAATAATACGCACTCTACTATGTATATAAAAAAAAATCCTAATGCTAAAATGAAACTTAAATCAATGGATATCAATACAATACATAATGATCAACAATTAATTACAAACCACGATGCATTTTCAATGAATATTTATAAAAAATATACCTAATAATAAGAGGACAGGTATTTTTTTAATGTGAAAACTGAAAAATAGTCCTGTGAATTGAAGACTAGAAACGTTACTTTTTATTCAAAACAAAAACGTAGTCTACCTGACAGTGTCTTTTCACTCGACAAATTAACTCTAAAAATTGTATGCTGTTTATAACTTTAAGTCAAAAAACTGTTACTAAAAATTCTCGGAAAAGCAATCTGTCTGATTAATATTTAGATTCTGAGCGGAGCGATGAATGTATTGCAGGTTTTACAATGACATGTGTTTTTTTTAAATATTTTTTGTGTCATTGTATACGTTTTATAAAAAAAAAATTCTTAAATCTTCAACTTTGAAAGTGGTTTCTGGGATAGGTTACCAATACTTACTCAACGAATTACACTTGACACCTATTATACAGCAGTTTGACTTCTCTAGTTTTTTAAAAATTATATTTTAGATTAAGAGCGGAGATAGGAGTATTAAGTTGGTTTTATAACGATTCGACTTTTTTTTATGCGTGTGCTAGTCATCACATCTTTGTGTAAACAATATTTTTATCTCGTTGAAACTTGGGGGAGGAGGAAGTAAAAAAAATGCACAGTTATTTTTTTAATAATCGGAAAAAACTAACAACAAAAAAAGCGGGGAAAACGGAAATATTAAATCAACACTAGTTTGTGACAAAATTGATTTTGTTTTCTTGTTGCCATTTATAAAGAAATTACCCATTTTTCCAATGTTCACTAAATATTTTAGTGAATAATGTTAATATATGTCAGAGAGTGCACAATATTTTATACTTGTATAGACATCCTAAATATTAAAGTATAATGGCTCGTTTCACTATATAATTTAAACGTATGAAATTTACTGCTTAATTAATCATTTTTCTTTTTCTGTTGATACAATTTTTTTTTTGTCAGCCAAAATACTTTAGAGAGTAATAAGAAATTCTTCAAAATTCTTTTGATTTTTTTATCATTTAAAAATATCGAAAATACATAACTATGTGTAATAGTAGGTAATACCGCTATTACGTATAAAATTAAATCTAACGGTTTTAGTTATTTAATATTTTATTCAAACATGTATTATCAATGGTAGAGACTTGAAACTTGCACTAATTGGGTATATAACTATTTTCTATACAATGAAATTGTCAAGCTTATATTAAACAAATTTATAACTATTTATTTTATATCACACCATCGTTTTGTCGTACTTCGGTGAACATATTCACTTACATAGTTATAATATCATTGTCTACAAAGATAACAATTAATGAAAATACTATAACTAATAGAATTATAATAAACTAGCTGCCCTAAACAACGTTCTCTGCCTAAAAACGATTTTTTTATAAATATATTTGCAACAAATGTATATGTCATATTTTTACTAATTATAATAGTAAATTAGGATAAAAATATAACCAACAACAACTTTTTAAATAAACAAATAAAAACATTTTTTCTCGCGAGATGATAAAACTCATATTTGAGGAACCCTCAAACTACCTATAGGGGTTGAAGAAATAAGCTATAAGCACCCTCTAAGTCTCAAGGAATCTATCGATATAACTTTTACTAAACACGGTCTAGTGGTTTTTTTTGTCTATTAACTTTGGATGAATCAAAATCCATTTTTAGATGTATAACTCGACTTCGCACTTGAAAAATAAAAAAAACTGTGTAAAATATAGTGCTAAATATTAATGTTGATGTACCTCATTTCAAGGAAAAATCTGCTTCAGGGTAACACGGTTGTCGGTTAGTAAACTTATTTTACCAAGATGGAAAATTCGTCTGTGGCTCGGCTTTACTGTTGTAGTTGATGTGTTCGGTATGTTGTAATTCAAAAAGTATTTCTTGATTTCCTTTTTTTGTTATAGAAGTACATTAATCGCATTTATATAATTAAATTACCGTATATTATTATGATCAACTTAAAATATCGATTTTCAACAAAAATCTTTTAACACAGTCCAGATTATAGGGCCCCTATCGTTAAGTTTATCGATATACAACAGTACTGCAATTTGTAGAGATTTACTAATCCGAGATGGCAGAAGGGTAACTCCATTATAAGCCTTGAAACGGTAAACCTTCTTGGCAGACATTTCGTACCCACCTGCGTATAGTATTATGTATAAGGAACGTATAGAAACTCACACACCTCGCTTGATGGTCTGATCGCTTTTTCTTTAACGCGTTTTCTATTTGTCGCTTAAACACAGGGGCGCGCAGACACTCTCTCACACACACACACACACACACCCACCCACACTCGGAAAACGCATTGTAAAACTTTAACGTGACTCTGCGAGTAAACCGTTCGAGCAATTATTTTATACGTTTATCGCCCGAGAAGTGCCGTCGTTAACCGCACACTCGTCCGAGAGAGGATATTAATTATTTTTTTTTCTCCCCGCCACCGCCATATCATTGGCCCAAATCCCGTGACGTCTGCCGTGAAATCTCACATACCTACCAATTTAATATTAGATATATATATATATACGAGAGAAGTGTGCCGGACACGCAACTATCTCTCTGCGCCAGCGGACAAGGTGATAAGACGGCGGCGGCGGTGCTACAGGACCTGCAGGACCTGACCCCGTCGTCGTCGTCGCCAGCAGGGCATTCTGTAATTTCTGCCACGGTCATTTGTCATTGGAGCTTTCCGGCTGAACGTCATCAATCATGGTCTTTAACATTGTGTGCGGCGTGCCGTCCGTCCGCCCTTTCGTTTTAGGACGCGCGAGCGCACGATAATGCGACGACATGTTGTCATTATGTGCGTGTTTGTGTGCATATACCTATACAACGGCGGCTACGGTCACAATGACGACACGCCACTATAACGGGCAGAGCGAGAACAGCAGTGGCGGTGGAGGTCCCTTGTGTTTTCGCACGCGTTTCCGTTCACACGTATCCCATTACCGTGGTATAATATATTACATAGGTGTACGGGTACCTGCCGAGGGTTGTGCAGCGGACGCGGGCCAGGTGACCGGCTGCGCGGGGTCGATATTATATTCAAATCGTCCGACCGCCAAGCGTTATTGCACAGTCTTCGGGCCCCCAAAAATCCGGAGTCGTCGCTCAACGATTGCTGTACAGCGATAATAATAGTATGCGATAACGGTAAAAATCGCGTGATACTTTTCGTTATCTGCAGTGGCTGCGGCACCGCCACCGACTACACCGAAAACGCTCCAGTACACAGCGATTACGTGTGCTTGTGCGTATACTTTCAGTGCTGGTCGCACGCGTTCCTATACCGGAAAGTGCATATCACTGTATATTATGAGAGTCAGCGGTGGGTCGAATCCGTTAATACCTAAGTAATATTACGTATACATTATTATTTAAAGTATATTCGAACAAGATATCCTATCCCCTGCAATCCCGCCACTGCGATGTTATCCTTTTCACACACGAGATCCGGGGTTACATTCACTCCAACTATGTATTCCTTTAACTACAAACTACAATATCACCTGATAATATTGCATTACGTAAAAATGATAGAATTTTGTATTTCTCATTATAAGGTATCGTATATATCGTACAGACCCATATTTTATTCGAGAAATGCCCTGCGTTTTATGGATAGCGTGTGACAGAAACTAGTACAGTAGATTCACTTGATTGCGCATAATGCAGTTTATATAGGTATAAGTAACACATAAATATAAAATATCACATCCGACTTTCGTGAAATGCTTTCAGTCGCAGGAAAAGTCCGATTTTCGTGAACACGTTAATCGAACGAAAACGATTTTCCGTCTAACTCGTATATTGACGCCCTTTGCGCCGCTCTTTTTCAAAGACCGTCAGCAGTACCTATGGTGTCGTGATGGAGTTTTACCGTGCTTTTTTTTACGATGAAGCAAAAAAAAAAAACAAAAACTAACGCTCGTCGATTCATCAAAACGTCACACGGTCGCCCGTAGTTGAGAACGGCGCCGGAAATGTTTTTACGTAAATAGAACCACGCGAGACAAAACGTTTTAGACAATACTTATACTGGTAGTGGTGTACAGGGTGATTGATATAACAAGAGTTACTCATTATTCATAAAACTATGAACTATAACCTGGAAATAAGTAATTTATTAAATTTGATGTTTTTAAAAATTAGCATGGACTATGAATTATGATATACACATTATAGGTAGTTATATGTTGTAGGCTATTTCAGAATTAAGCTTTTTGCAAAGAGTCTGTTATCCTGTACAGGATCTCTGCAAAAAAGTAGTAAACTTTGATTTGTTTTCTTAAAGAGCTAGTTGACTTTTAAGACTTCAATGGTATAGTTCGGCTCTTTGTAAAATTTAGGTATTACAAATCGTTTATAGAGTATAGTTTGTAGATTAAGTAATAAGTATATTGAGATAGATTTTATTAAAATAAATTATGTTATATTTATTTTGTTTTTATTTTAATTGATTTAATAAAACAAATAATTAATCATTTTTATGCTAGATTTAGTTTCAATAACATCAGTTATTGATTTAAAGGATAATGATCCTTTAAATCAATAACTATAATTTACCAGTTTGGGTATTGTTATAAGATACATTAAGACCAATTTGTTCTATATTTAGACACTCCAATGCTTGGTTAATTCCCGAATTAGGCCGATTACGTTTTCAAACAATATGTTAAGCTCTTGTCAAGTTTTTCTTAATATTGAAAATGAAATCAAACTTGAAATCTTCTCATTGATCGATTTTTTTTTAAGTATTTAGGTAATTAAGAAAAATAGAAAACTTAATTTTTTTTTCAATGTATACTTGTTCCTGTTGCCTTGTTCTATAACATTGTTTAAAGAAATTTAATTTACATTTACAATTTACATACTATCCTTGTTTAACCAAAGTGTCGTATATTTTTGACTTTTTAAAAGAATAAGATTTTAATTTCCATCTTAATTATCAAGTCTAGTCTGGGCAAAACAAACTTTTTTTAACGTTTCTATTATTTAACTTTACAACTTCAATAAAACATTGGCTTAAGGTTTATTCTTTAAGTTTTTCGTTAATTAGTACATTTTATGTACATTATTATTTTGTTAATGTTATTATTATAAATATTTTTTTGTCGCTTTTAAGATAATATAAAGCAATTCCTATCATCCAACATAATTTAGTTTTTGCATTTAATTTTTATACCAATTTTATTAAAAGCTCAGACACTAGCTAATAATAATCATTAAACATGTAAGTCATTCTTAAACAGTCAAACCACGAGTTGGTGAGGAAATCACAAAGGTAAAGAAGAAAAATGAATTGTTGAAAATAGACATCTTTTTGACAGAGTATAAAATGCAATGTACCTAATAAAAGGATTTTATAGTAGATGCGACGGAGAGGATTATTTTCATAATAAATGGTAAAATCCGAAAGAATAATCTAAATATTTCATCGAGATAATTGTGTAACTATGGTATCAGCAGTTCTTCACTTTTAAGCTAGGTATATAAGATTAATAAGGTTTTTTTTTTTAATCTTGAAAATTAATAATGAAAAAAACATTACGCACTTAACATTTTCCGTGGCCTCCCCAGTCGGGTTATTTTTACTGTTGTTCCCCTATGTCTCTCGTTCCGTTCTATTTATCTTTGCTTTTATCGGTTTACTGATAAAATATTTACGGGATTCCCGTTACTGTGGTAGTAGTGTAATGCATATCTAATGGGAAATTTACCGGCCGGATTTCAATTCACAAGAATAGAGGAGGCCGTATGGAACTCGGCAACAAATATGAAGGCGGTGGTTGTTTTGCAATAACAGTTACAGAAATTGGAAGAACCGGGGGAATGGGAAAGTTATTACACGTATACCTAGCCAACAGTTGTAGAACCAACCGTTTCCACCACCTTTTGCTCTTCCGGTATACGATGTATAAATTATTGTTAAGAGCGGATAGCAGCAATATCGTTTTCAAAACTATCGGTAGGTAGGTATAGGTATAGGTATCTAACCAAAACGTGGATTTATGTAGCATCGGAACAAGCCTATACAACCGCTGTATCAACTTTGCGATCCGGCAGTTTTGTTGAAATATTTTTCAACCCACAAATGTGATTGTTACTGAAAATTAAAACAAATATAACCGAGTATAGTATGCGACTCGTCGGGGCGAGTTTATGGTTTCATGTTAAATATTTAATTATAAATTAAACTTTTACAGCCGGTTATTATTTACATACACGTATTCGGCTGTTTTCCTCGAGGATTTGAAAAGTATGATTCAATGAATCAAAAAACCTTAAATAATAATTTTATTACAAAGAAACGTAAACATTATTCTTAACCACAAGTACGATAAATTATGTACTCTGATTAATTTCAATTTAAGCCAAATTCAATAAGTCACTGATATTTATTCAAGAACATTACATTATGTCATATGTGGTACAGATTAATTAATGTATTTCAACATCAAAAGGTAGTATAGGTACAACTGCCGTAATAGGTACATTTTAATTAAATATTGAAACGGGAAGAATTTGAGATTTTCAGAAATGATTACAGAATATTCTTTTTAGTACCAAATAATATAATAAATTGAAGAATTTTAAGTATTAACGGAATCCTAAAATACGCTTTATATAATTTTTTTTTTATTAATCACAAACTTATTATTATATTATATTCTTATACGGTATACATGTAGTAACCATGGCGCTATAGTAGCAGATATGGAAAGTAATGTATTATAATATATGACTTCATCTGAATTGGTTCCCACTGGGATACTTATAAAACATAATTTTTTTGTCCTTTTTTCGAATAGAATATCACTTATAACATTTACGACAGTTTAATACCCAGATATAATAGTATAAAAAATGTGAAATGCAACATATAAAAAACAAAGTTAAATTGGTAGGTATTAATTTTATATAGTTTGAATACAAAAGTTTTGACAAAATATAATCCAAATATTTTATTTGCGTTTGTTTACAATAATTAAAAACTTAAACAAATTGTTTTTAATGCTATAAAATATTAAAATAAAACCCCCTAACCGAAATCCATTTAAGACATTCCGGAACAACCTATCCAATTGTAGATGTTTAGAATACAAATCCAAATTGATGATTTAAAATTATATACCTACCTTGGTTAAGTTATCGTGAACTATATTGCACGATATAAAAAAAATGATAAATACTGTTCACGGCGAGTAGCTAAGTCAAAATACGGTTTTCTATTTTTATCTTACTTCAATAGAATAATCGTTACTATAATATGTATTTAATAATATATTAGAGTATCATATTATAATATGACGTTTGACGTTTCTGTAATTATTATATCGTTATTCATTTAAAATATAAAATACGGTCAACGTACAATTATTTACGGTTATGAATATCAGTATGAGCAGTACATGGATCTTAAACGGTAAGGGCTTCATGGTTACGTGGCATTGTTTATTGTTGGAAAAATACTGCCTTCAATCTTCCAGCTCAGCGTCATCTGCAAAAGAAAACAAACATTTTTGTAGTCTTAAAAAAATAAAATCTTATATTTACACGGATTTTATTTTATCTGACAATAGTGTTCTCGAATTTATTCGCTCAGCCAATATATGTACAGTGGTGGGTTTTAGATTTTTACGATCACAGTTTCTAGTCTCTTGTGCACACAAGGAGTTTTATTAACAGCTGATGAGACACGTCTTCTGATATGTACAGAGACTTTCCAACTGGTGTCGACCGAAATGCATATAAACCTTGGTGTTTTATGTATTTCTGTACTTTATTCCTGTCCGCATATTGATTGGAAGACGAGTTTAAGTACTAGAATGTAATTCAGTGGGTAGTAAAAAAAAAAGGTTAGGTTGAGACTTGAGAGACACATTTATGACTCGGATCTAATAAGATGTTTTATTTAAGCAAACACAAATAATATTTAACATTTGTTAAGACACAAAAAATAAACAAAAACCATGTTTAGTTCCAATTAAATGTGGACGTAGGTAAAAAACAACCACAATTGTCTTATTAATTAATAATTACTACCCAACTATACGTTAAATATTGTATTAAATACATATTATTTCAAATTTGAATTAATTATTTATCAGCTGAATTAATAATTTATGTATCATTATTAACTTCTCGTCGTTATACAATTAATATTATATTTTGTTGATTACAACATAACTTTACATTTGCTTTAGTAATTACATTCAAATCGATTTTAGTACACTTAAGCACTCACATGTACATACGCCAGATAAAGACTAACATTAAAATCCACTTTGAACTTAAAGCAAATAGTAATTAACAATAAAATCGATTTGGAATTATGAACTTGGTTTGAATAAATACCATAATAATTTAGTATTGACGAAAACATAATAATTTATTAGTAATAAATTACTCTATAGATTAGTAATAATTAATAATAGTTAAAAAATATTTTACTTGTATGGACACAATAATGAAAATGTTTGAAATAGAGGGTTCAATGAAAATCTGGATTCAAAAATAATGATAGTATCTGTACGTGACGTTTGAACTGTAACAGCACAACATTGTTTCAATTAATGTGTTTCCAATACATTTTAGTAAAAATCTGTATTATAATAATATAATAGAACAAAGGTTTTCACAAGCAGTAAATTGAACAATATTAATTATTGTCCATATATTAATATAGCTATAGAATCTGACAAGTGATTGTTTCTAACGAAACTTGTATTGGAAACACGAACGAGCATTCGGAGAAAAAAAATTGTTACGGAAAACATATAAGAAGATATAGATGGAATTATTGGACTTGATTTTTGCAGGGACGTAATTGATTATTGAATTGAATTCTTAAAATTGTATGGCAATGGTAGGTAGAATGTACCAACGAACTGTACAATTATCCCTTAGAGCCTTAATATTTTACGGATTTCAACTAAAAATTTAACTTTGATATTTTATTTAAGCTTGGATAAATTAAAAAAAAATAAATCTCATATGTTTGCACTTTATAGTAATACATAAAGAAAACACAAATGTAGTGCGGACATATTATTACGTTAACACTTGCACTATACTGAAAATATAAGCAAATAATTTAATATGTTCAGTGGGATGTTGATAATTTCACTACCTAATATTACGAGTCTGTAATTTATACTTTAGTTTAATAAGCTCATTGACATTTGACATTGATATAATTAACGCGGTTAAGCAACGGTGTCGGTCTGGGTTCGCGAGGAAATTGAAATTGCATTAAATAGTTAATCCTAAGTTGGAGATTCAATTTCGAATCTTGTTTAAAAGTTTTGTGTGATTTCATCCGTTTTATTATATATTATATATGTATATCCATGCTTTATAATATATTATAAATATGCCTTTTGCAAAAAGTGTTGTTCTTTTTATTTTAAATTTAAAAGAAAACGATAAACTATCTCGAACGATTTTGAGCAGAGCAAAGTTATTATAAAATCGTTTTCAAATTTAAAGTTCTTAAATAAATTATTTAAAATTTCCAAAACTTATGATTTATAATATTGAACGATGGTCCTATGAACTGGGATCAACTTTCGATTATTTAACATTTTACCAAGAAGTAATTATTATAATACATAATATAGAAAATTGAAAATAACAATTATATTACACAAAATACATTTGAAATCTGTTACATAAAAAATAGCTCAACATTAATTCAACTATAAAAACAGAATGGGCAGAGGTAATTTTATCGATAGTCCAAATTTCTACCAAATGGATAATTAAAAAAACCACAACTATGTCCACTGTGAAAAGTTTGTTACTATTTATTGCCACTATATTAAAATTAGGTCTCAAATTAAATATTGCTAGTCGATGTAAATGAAACATTAATGTACTATTATTATATTGAAAAAATTAAATTAAAGATAACGAAGAGAATTATAAAAATAGCGAAGATGAACTATTGATACCTCATCAGTCATCAAATACCAATGCGATATTATCTGATTGTTGCTTACAACAGATTTTGTATAAATTACCGAATAATATTAATTAAATATGGACAGTTATTTATTGATGTTATATTATAAATAATAAAAATGAATATGACGTTATCCTATGACACTTTTTGGTAAAATATAATATGTTTATATAATATATATATATATATATATATATATATATATATATATATATATTAATGTAATATCTATGCAATATTTATAATTTATGACTCGTTTTAAAATAGCTTGCAGGTAAATTAAAATTTATCCCAACTATTTATAAATCATGTCGGTATAGGTATTACATATTATTTTGATTATGGCCCGCATTCTTACGATTCACAGTCATATATTTTAAATTTTGTGTATTATCGATTATTCCAGTCTCCTTAGACCACATTTTATTGTCTAGGTACTATTTATAAGTTGATTGATACCTACTATTGTGAGCTTAGAACTAATTCTAAAAAACTTGATGATTGATCCGAAACTAACATTAAAACTATAAGTTAAACATTGTAAACACATAAATTTAAAAATAACAGGAAAGGTAAAGTAAATATTTTCAAAACATCATATTCTAAGTCTAATTATTTTAAAACACACTTAATGATTAAATATAGTCAATTAGATTTAAAATAATTCGAAAAGGTCAAATTATTAATCTGCTACTGAATTTCGGAACCAACTTCCATGATAATATTCTATGTATTTTCCAATTTTTAGCATAATAATGTACTTTTTAAGCATAAGTGTGCGCACCGTGGTGGCAGGGGTTGCAGCTGCCTGCCCTGGAAGATTATCCGCTCCCACGAGATTTTTGATAAAGTACCTAGGGATAATATACTGTTTGTTAAGATACTTGCAGTATGCAATCTAAAAATTATAAATACTACAATATTGTGTATTACTAATCAGTTATCACAATATATTATACATAGACATTACAGATTAGTAAATTTTTGAAAGACAATTGGCAAGAAAGCTTCAACAACTATGGTTACTGGTGTGTTCTGTGACAATACCAACTTCTTATGCGGTAGCCAACCACAAATGAGTCCTAAAGCCCTACAAACGTATAGAAAAATGAAAATAATAAATGTAGAGAATGAATAAAATGGTTCACTTGTTGTGATAGACGGAATATTTTTCATAAATAAATAATGATGAGGTACTTATTGAAAACTGTTGTGGACTTGTGATGTCTGTATGTTTAGACTAATCGTACAGTCAATATTATAGATCAATTTAACTATTATGGTTTAAGAGAACTAAAATGCTTCATACACGGAGGAGGGGGAGCCCAGACACCTGAACCTTCTCAGTAACAATCTTGCTTCCCCTATCAAGAGGACCTGCGCACGCTTTTGCTTTTAAGTAGGTATATATAGTGATGTAATGGACGATAAATTGAATGTTTATGGACTGGATTAGAGATGTATGCATCAATACGACGATATTGAATATAATATACACATAAACCTGTTTTCGTGTTGTTTATATTATACCATACCTAAGTAAAATATCCGTTAGAGAATTTTGTAATATTTCCGACTGCGAACGTTCGAGCCATGTGTCCGACGGTGTTTTGAAGTCAATATGAATATTTAATATAATATCCTATCAGTAATACGTTTTGTCTGACACTATGTATATTTATAGCGTTATTCTGCTTAATATAATATGATGTTCAACACAATAGTATGTTTGTTCTTCTTAGTGTTAGTAGTTAGTATACGCCTTGTCTGTTTGATTTGGATAAAGTTAATAGTTTATCGATCGGCGTGATATATTTTTTCTCGTTTTGGATCCTGTAGCAGGCTATTGTCCTATCAAGTGTGCAACTGTACATTATATATACAATACGATGAGTGAAAAAAAAGTGTACACTTTTCACGCATCACATCCATTGGTTTTAAAATAAATATATTGACTGCACATAATATGATGAGTTATTTTTTGAATTTCCTAGCGGTGTATAAGAAACACTGTGAAAACGGTAAAGAATAAAATCGTTGTACCTTTCTATACAACCAAATAATTTACTTCTATGAATAAACCTAGATCGTCCTGCTATTTGATGGTTTTTTTTTTTGAATTTATAATATTACATCAATGTTTTCATCTATTCCTAAGCATACTTGTCCCAGTGGTCTACTATATCTACTCCAGTATCAGCACTTTTTGTTGAGCCACGATAATCGATTTAACTCAAATAAAATGTTGCCTGTTACTGCAAATCATGATGTCTAGAAAAAGAAAATACCAGATAAAAATATATTCTAGACATTTTAAATTACAGTCAATTTTCAATTTTATCGTATAATTAGTGTAAAATATGTTGACAGTCCATAGTATGGCCCATGAACTCAATATCACCTATATTATGATGTTATTACTGTTGCTGACACTATACCTGGCGGGGTTATTATATTATAATGAATATTGAACAAGTTAGTATAGTAGTTATACATTATTAATATGCATGAACTTTATTATATGGGTATGTATTTTGAAAAGACTAAACCTAATGTTCTCATCGAGGATAACACAAAATTAATTAATTTTTGAATTGTCAGAAGTGCATATTTTAAGAGAATATTTAGAATAAGTGAGAACAAAAATAGACATTGAAGGTTAACGACAACAATTTCATAGATCATAGAACAAAATGTTTTTCCACAAATTATAATTTAATATTTATTTTAACTGTTGTCATCAAACACTATTATTAGATATTATTATTATTATTAGATTACTTATTCAAAGGTTTTTGGAATTTATAAGATCAATTAATCAGGAGCCAACGAGTTGCAAAGTCGCCGAAATAGTATTTTTCAATTCATTTTAAGAAAATATCTTCGAACCGATCAGACAAATTGGGTGAGGGGCTGGGGGCAATTTCCACATAAATAACATAACATGTCAAAATGTTGGTTATTTATTTTAATTAATAAATTCAGTATGTCATACTGAGATTATATTTGAATACAACAGATACATTATTATTCATCCGACACGAATACAAATATATTGACGATGCAGATATTTTTTACTGCACTATTTAAAATTTTATTTAAAGTATGGCTTACTCATCCAACTAATTTTGAGTTTAGTGTTTGTCCATACCGTAACGTTTTACATCTTACTATTATACTATTATGGTATGGCTTCAATGGATAAGCGTTTCGTTATATTATTTTTCTACTTTCTAGTGCATGTACAGTGTACCTACACGCTATGTATATAAAATACAAATTTAGAAATACAAAATTCACACATTAAGAATAAATTGCACTTTTTAATTTGTATAGGTTCTCATTCGTACGAATCGTACGTAGCGTGTTAAATAATTATCAACGATAACGAAACTATTCAACGCATTACATGAACTTTATAACGCCACACGATTTTAGGGTTCATTGAATCCTATATTGTTTGAGTATTTCACTTATCGTTACATTATCAACTTATTGATGATGATAAATGTATTTATTAACTTATCTTTAGTATAGGAATGCATGTATACTTTATAGGTAGGCAATTGAAAATATTTATATAAAATTTAATCAATCCACATATCGTGATAAAATAACATTATTTTGCCTATAAAATAATAATAATTGGATACTAACCTAACCTACTTAATGCTGTAGTTTTAAAAGCGAGACTACGACTAAAACGTTTAAGATAATATTATAATGAACTAAAAAATCGAATTTCATATAGGTACGTTCAGGCCAGTCTAAAAATGTTAAAAGTAGGTACTCGAAATATGTAAATATTATATGGTAATCAAATATTTTTTGGAAGTCGTAAATAATTCTGAAAAATAACGATTATTTAATATGTATGTTTGTTAAAATTATTGAGTAGGTATCCCGTGGATAAGTGGACTTATCGTCAGATCGTTTTTTTATGTATATTTTACGATTTCCGAAATTGTGATTACAACGGGAGGTCAAATAATCGCTAAGTCTGTACAAATGCAATTTGACACCTCTTGAGGTAACAATTAGACATCACACTGCATATTTGTACTTATATTATACGAGCGCACATGTTTTCTACCTGTTGACTCAAGTTGTAAGAGATTAACATGGAATGAGGTACAGACGGTGTATCTGGGAAATGTGACATAATATTATGTAAACGTAAATTCAGTATAAAATTCTCAAAACCACCAGCTTCACTCTTCATACCTATACACAATAATATCTATAATAATAAATTATTATATTTTTATCCACTGTGAAGTCAAAGTATATAATGTTTAAATAACACTATCCAACATTTTATAAAATATATTGTAGAAAAAGTCATGCTTCTGAATTCACACTCGTCATCGCACTTAACCAGGACCCCAACTCAATTTCTACCTCAATCGACTTCATCATCGGCGCCAACCTACTCAACAAGATAAAGCTTTAGCCTACTAAAGTATTATCAGCTAGCATTTAAGTTGTATTTCATTGTAATTTGTAACTCATACATTGTTATCTATCACACATACTATGTAATTTAAAAACATTATAAATATCACCCAATGGACATTGTTGCCTAGGGATTAATTAATAAAAAATAATTGTATGCATATAACATATTTGACCATAATTAATCGTACTGTAAGAATCAAATTATTATTGTTCTCTGTTTTTATGGTTTGATATTATTTTTATGGTTTTACAAACATTTAATGCAGTTCTTCAAATTAACTTGATATAAAAATACTAATTTTGTCTCCATCTTAGTTCTCTTGCACCCTCTCCCCTTCTACAAGTGACAGGAAATGCAATTGAATTGTTTTTGTGAAAACTAAACGCACACTTTGGACGGTTTCCAACTCAGGTTGGCCATGAAACAAAGCGCTTATAGCCCGCGGACAGGCGACACGGCCTATTGTTCTTAAGTGAAAATCAGTTGGCAAAGTAATACCGCACACGTTTCCACAAAGGTCACAAAAGGTGGATTTCTCTAAATTTAATTTCGGCCACACAATCCATTTTCTCTATTTTATTTAATTAACCACTTCTTCCAGAAAATTACAGAAACCAATTTCACAAAACACAGTGAAAGTTTTTAAAAAAGATCATGAAATCAAATTTAATTACCAGTTTGGAAAAAACAAAAGCACTCAAAACTGTTACAGTAGCTAGTATAATTGTATATTATATATTTTGTTATTTGACTATATTTTATTATATTATATTTATTGCATTATTATTATTTTATTTTATACTTCAGTGTTGTTCTGTTTATTTGAATAACCATTGACTTAGAAAAACTAAGAACTCCAAAAACAGAACTTTTTAAGTTACATTTTATTATGTTGTACTTTTTGATACTAATAATTTAAAACACCACAAACACTCTATTTTACATACCCCTAAGTACTTAAGAATTATGAACTTGACACTCGAAACTAAGTTCGGTAGTTTTCACTAACTAATTAAAGTTATTAGAGTATATCAAAGTTTTCTAGAAATAATTATATTACATTTAGTTTGCTGCAAACAGTTATACACTTAATAATTTGAAATAGAAATTATTTTCTATTATTTTTCTTCCACTTAAGTACAAGGACGCTCATACTTTAGTGAAGTGCCTGAGCTTTAAAACCAAAAAAAATAGAATTGTATTTTTTAAGCAAATATTCGTTGTGTGAAAATCAAACAGACTAATAATGATTTTTTTTTTTAATCTGTAAATATCTCTGAAAAATCTTTAATTATAACTTATAAGCTAGTAGTTAATAACTTAAGCTTTTTAACTTAATATTTCAAGTATTATCATATATTAATTCTATTCCTTTATAAATTGTTTTGTAATTATTATTATCATTGTTGTTTCTCTTAATTTTCAAACTATCTTGACGTATAAACTATTTACAAGAATGTGGCTTTTCACACAGTCAAAACACAAAAGAAAATTAAGCAACAACAAATCATTTAAAATTTAGACAAAGTCGTCAACATTAAATCATTTAAAACATAAAACTAGTAGATCGCTACTGTCACTGCAATACCACGTAAATAACATTTCACAAATTGTTCAGGAGAGACATAAAACTAAATAATTTGTGTGCAAGAAATAATTTTACAATTTTTTTTTCTTATATTGATATTAGGAGCTTAGTATAGTTTAAAAACAATGAAAATTATATTTTGTAATATCATTTAATTTAATTAATAGTACTTACGTGGTTTTTCAGCAATATAATGAAGATACGAGGTATTGAAGGATTGAGATACGTGTTGTTTAAATACAAATGTTGTAGATACGTGTAATTTATATTTATTTAATTTAATACCTTATTTAATAATATTATTATAATATTAATTAATACGTCTTTAAAATATATCAAAACTGTATTAAAGCAAGCACGTACTCAGGATCAATTTTTTTTGGAGGGGGGTGAACCCCTAAAATCCCCCTTGATACCGGCTTGTATTATAGTATCAAATAATAACCAGCTAATACATTTTAAATTTTGAAATAAATGAACAACCTTTGTTTTATTTCACAAATCAATAAAAAAATTAAACAATAAAATATATTAATTCAAATCAAAAACTTGAACTAGGTGTGTAGTATAAATAATAATAATATAAAAAATACAACAGTTAACTAAAATAAAAAAATCTTGTTAAAACATAATAATAAAAAAAAAAAAAAAAAAACATAATATCTGATTTTTACCACATTATAAATTGTTATAATAATTCCTTATTTAATATCTTAATTAATACTGAACACCAATAAAACTGCATTATTGTATAAATAATAAAATACAAAATATAACAATTCACTAAAATAAAATAATAAAAATATCTTGTTAAAACATAATAATAATTATAAAAAAAAAAAAAAACATAATAACTAAATTTTATCACATTTTCTTTCTTTATAAGTCTTTAAGTGAGGTATATTGTCATAATAATCGTGGACATCAGTTGGTAGAACCGTTTTTAATTTTTGGAGATCATTCCACTTGGACAGAGTAATAGGAATTCTGCTATTATACAAACAAGGTGTGTTGATGGACAGATCTATAGTTTTTTTTGTTCGATGGTACTGGGGTAATTCTGTATATTCATGTTCAAAATTTATTTTGTAATATATTTTTTTGGTTGTGGGATCATATTTAAGAGCTCTTATATTTCGAACTTCAGGGTCACCCTTTGATCGCCCAGGTCGGATAGACTTATAATAATTCAATTTTTTGTAGTCATAGAAATCTGAATAGTTAACAGAGTGGGATTCATAGGGTGATGGATTTTTCCTAGGAACATTTAAATTATTTTCATTAGAAATATTACCTGGTACATCAATGGAAGTTACAACTTCTACATGTTCATAAGTTAATTCAATATTATCCTTTAAGCAATCTTCATAATTATTAAATTCAGAATTATCAGTTTCAAAATTAATTATACAGTCAGTCTTGTTATAAATACTATCATCAACTTGATTTTCAATAGTTGGTGCAGTATTATTAGGAACATTTAAATTATTTTCATTATAAATATTATCTGGTTCATTTATAGAAGTTACAACATTCTCATAAATGAATTCAATATCCTTTAAGGAATCTTCTGTTAAAACTTCATATTTTGTTTTTGAAATAGTTGAATTGGCTATTAAATTAGTTTCATATTTTGGTTTCTTATTAGAGAAATTGGTAATATTTGTCTTACTTTTTTTTTTATATGTAATGTTGTTCATAGCGTCATCTTTATTACTAGCTTCATTAGCAAGCTCCAATAGGTGTTTAATTCTTCTTTTTGATGTCATGATGTATAATGCTAAAAAAAACATAATCATACAGTGTACCTAATTATTATAACTATCATCATAAAACTGTAATTTTATTTGAGTAGATAATAACATAATTGAAACTAACTACTTTCATACAATGTTTTATTGAAATAAATTAACTATAACTTAATATTTATAATTACCTACCTGTATAGTAAGACGTTCAATATTATTAGTGCTGAACTGTCTTAAGACTAGCAGTCTAGCTCCACCAGCGTTTATGTTGAATAATATTATTATAATGTTCATTATGGTAGATACGTGTTATCAAAATCAAAATGTAATACGTGGTATCACAAAACCTTTAATTTGAGCGGGAAAAAACAATATAATGGACTCATGGTACATAATAAAAGTGATAGAGAAAATTATAATCTATACAGTGATACCAAAATGTCATTTTCAAAAAAAATGTTATTTACGTGGTATTGCAGTGACAGTAGCGAGATGTATACACAATTAATGAATAATTGGTGCAAGTCTAAATATCAATTAATTCTCGTTTCTTTAGTTTAAATAAATTAAATTGAATATAAATTTTTCAAAAGCAATGCAGTAGCTAGCTTTGAATAATTTAACCAATTTGGATTAACTAAACATTGTGAAAATTTTTTTTCGTATGTAATAATAACTTTACATTATTGTTTTTAATTTAAAAATATCCCAGTGATTTACTAAGATTCTGTATCAAATTTGTTGACAATGCTTAAGTGAGTACTTACCTACTTATCATTATTTTTATTTGACATTTTTTTTTTTTTTTTTTTAATAATATTTATTGTCATTCAATCTTTCCTAAATTAATCGATAACCCATTATTTAAAATTTCAATAAAATTTAGTATCTATTTTATAATAGTTAATATAATGTGATGGTTTTGAATCAATCGATATACTGCCATTTGATATATAGGACAATCGATCGATTTTTGAATTTATTTTAAATTTTGAATTTTAATTTTTCATTTTAAAATCTACTACTTTGGAATATACACGATATTAGATTGATAAACAGTATTTATGTAACATATAAATATATTCGTTAAGCAATAAAATAAAAGCAGACTAAAAATGTTAAAAATAGTTCATACAAAATACGATTGTATGTTGCAGATTATATGGTTGCATACATTATATGCTTACGTTGTTAGCAATACTTCGAAGATCCTCTGAACATGTTTTACCATTCACGGTTATTAAAAGCAGTGTTTAAGAGCTGTTTACGTTGTTTCTCAAAATTTGTTTGACGTGGCCTGGGAGCTCCTCGAACAATACTTTCGATATCTGTCTCAACCTTACATACTGCTCTTTATGGAGTGTTATATTAAGTATAAATAGACCAATACGAGCCCAATGCAACGAATTTTAACTAATACCTACCTAATTGTTCTCTAACCATTGTGTACGCAGTAACTTATGCTTTGTTAGCCATAATTTGTATTTAAATTTTTGATGAGACGATAAGAACATTACATTTTGAATTCCGTGTATGAAACATAAAATAGCTCTGTTTGTCACTCGTCCAACGTACCTATCTCAAAGGTTTATCTATTGGATTTTATACTGAATCTTAAAATAGTCTTTACAATCGTATTAGTTGTATCAATATCATGAACATTACCAATATTCATTATGGTTTACATTTTTAATACAAATATAAATAAAAAAATTACAGTAAATTAATGATTTTAGTTATATATATTACTAGTTATACAAATTATAGTTATACTTACTGAACACTTTTTTTCAGTAAAAATCTTGGTAGACACTATACTGTCTTTTAAAAACATTATTGATTAGGGTAGTAGATAATCTTCTAATTTCACAATATTTATTTAATATTTCTATACCATCCCTTTATATTTACTTTAAATTGTTTTAGATTCAAAGTAAGGAAGTGGTAAGTTTTTCCAGAAAAATAAAAAATGAAAAGAATGAAGATATGTTACTTGTGCATATTAAAATACTTATAGGGTTTTTGTTCACGAACAATATCAACGTAAGGTGTGTGCTTGATCAATTATTTAAATAAGACTGTCGATCATATTCTACCGATATGGACCGTCATATTGACACGTTGAACGTCAAATTCATCTAAATCTATTATTCTTTTTTTTTTTAAATTTCTTTTTTGTGTACTTTAGAGTAGAATTATGAAAAATATCCATACGTATATAATATATCATTTCAGAATATTCCTTCTGAATTATAGATGATTATACATATGAAATATATTTAATACTAAGTAGTCGGGTATTGTTGAGTGCTTGTATAGATACAAAACTGGTAAATTATTATAGACTTTTCTTTTAATACTTTTAATCGTAATATGTATTAAATAGTTTTATAATTTATTAAAATAAGAAAAATTAATAACAGCACGAAACCAAACAATTATTAATTTCTACATTCATTGGAGCTAATTAAAAAAGTACCACTTGCATTTGTTTTACATCCTGAATTGTATTGGTATTATCTTATGCAAAAATTAAAATTTTATTTCAAGTATCTAAAAGTTAGTTTTTTTTTTGCGAACAAAATAACTTTTAAGTTATTTATTTAGGACGACATATACTTTTTTTTATACTTTGAAAATGTTTCAAGACCATCATTAACCTATTACAATATCAAAACATTGTTTTATAAATTTCTAATAACACAGATAAGTGATGAGTGATAATGCAGTCAATGTGAAATATTAGAGCAGAACTGCCTCAACAATTTTCACACCTTCACTGCTACTAATTAAAAATAAAATTTACTGATTGTTCTTTAACTAGTTAGGTATGTCAATATAAATTGCTATTTAGTGAATGCACTGAAAGATTAAACATGTTTTCAAAATGTTATGTCAATCCTGTCATTTTATACTGCAATAGTTATTATTTTAGGTAGTATACCGCCTACATATTATTATTATGATTTTTTTTTTTTTGGAACTTTGCCTGGAAAATGAACATCAGTGTATTGTTTGAGCGGAAATTACCTCGTGCATTATTTTTTTCTCATTTATTTATCTAGAAACATAAAGATGAGCCACTGCTGCGTGATAAAATGTAGCCACGCAACGTATTAAATCATTAATGTGTGCACCTAAACTTTACCTTTAGTGTTCACGATGTTTCCTAAAAGTTCAAAGATAGCATTAAAATGTGAAAAAAATCTTCTAAGTGAATAAGAAATATAATTATTTCGACAATTTATGTTCTAAAAATAGAGGTGGATAAAAGTTTATTTTACATTCTAGAATACGGTATACATTTATGTTTATAAATTTCTTTGATAAGGACAAGAGTGATGATATTATTAACAGAAGCATAATATTATCATTGTCAAGAATATTAAAAAATAATTTTTGCATTTTGAATGTAACTTTTATAATATCAATACATAATATTTTACTTAATTAAATAATATTATGTATTTAATATGTGCTGTGCTTATCTGTATTGTTGTATTATCCCGGATAACCTATTGTTCGTGATCATTACCTACATGAACCTACAATTGTATATTATTCAAGTATAAAAAAATTGAAGATTTTCATTTCAAATGGACACATATTCGATCAAACAAAAATATTATTGTTGACAACGAAAGCGTGTCACAACGATGTTATTACAAATTTTAACTTATAAAAGTTATAAGAATGATATTAAGTTGCATTACAGGTACATAACCTTTATTATGTATGCATGGTCTTCTAATTAAAAAAAATAAAGGCCATGTTTTCAGATTTGAAGTTGTGATCTAAACTATGGTTTTGTATTACAGTTATATTTTTTCTCTTTCTCTAAATACTTTTTTGGGTGGTAAAAAAGATTGAAAGTCCCGTGTTTCACCTTTAGAGACAGGAAACTTTATTTATATATTGCTTCATACAAATATTAAATAATTTCTTTAAAGTTTTAATGAATCTTTGGTCATCAAAATCCACTGAAAACTTGATGATATACAATGTGGGTATTATTTTGTTGAAATTAAAAAAAATTTGACATTTAAACTTTTTAACAGTGGCACATTATAATTATTTGTCAACATTGAAGTGAATTTATTTTATTCACAGGATTTCATTTTTCATTTTCGAATATTCATGATTGCATTCAAATGTATAATGTATAATAATACTAAAACACTACTCATGTCAAGTGTAGCGAAGCGATCAGAGTCTATTGTAACCAATATCCCGTATATTATATCATGTACATTCTTTTAGGTCCGTGGAATATTTTCATAGAAGTCATCGTTGTTGGTTTGTTGCATTAATAAAACTTAATCTATGCTTTTTTTTTTATTGTTTATTATATTTATTTTTCAATAATAAATTGTCATATTATTATTTTTACTGTGGATTTTAAATTTAATCAGGAAATTCCAAAAAGGTTGCACTAACAATGTTTATGTAAATTACTGTCTTTAAATGTGAAACTTATTTTTCTTACACCTTTTAATAATGAACAAAAACGATTTTGTTTTTAAACAAAGAGAATATTTCACATGAAGAAAACAACAAAACTGTATTTGATAAACATTTATTTCCGTTAATAGTAAACAATGGCTGAAAATAAATAACACAATTAAATACAACGCTGTTTGGATAATAATTGGTGTAAATTCACTTACTACTAGTATTTATAGAGTGTTTACTTGAGGTTTTTCATGGTCTAATAATATTCTTATTATTATTAGTTTTTCAATTGTATGCGAGAAAGAAATAGAGAGAAAAATGATTACCTACTTCGGTAAAAGTACAATATTTACTGTAATTTAGTATTTAATATTATTCAATCGTAATAATACTGTTCTATAATATTAAATAAATTTTTAAGTTTAATGGGTTACCACTATAACATAAATTTCATTCAGTTGGATTATTTGTTATCTTCCAAGTTCACTTAAAATGTATGATATATTAATTGATATTGCAAAAGCTATAATCCAATCATGAAAGTGTTAATAACAAAACAATTATAAAAGTTATTTGAACAATAACTTCAACATTTTAAAAGATTAAATTGTATTTTTGTAGATAATATATTATTTAAATTATATTATTGCAATATTATTATTATTATTCGATTGAATATTGTAAGCTTACATGAATAGTGAATATAAAAAGTGGACACTTATATACAACTTTTTTATAAATATCTATTACTAAGTTTGAACTCAAAAGAATTTTAGATTTTAGATGGGCCGATTTGAAATTAACTTTTAGTTATTCACTAGTTTATAGCATAATATTTAAGAAATATTTGTAAATGTTATTGAACTAATTCATTTTTTATTGCAACAGTGACATAAAATATTAAAATTTCATCCTCAACTTAACCTTTATGGCATGTCTCATCAAAATGTTTTTATTATTAGTGGCGTAATATAATAAACCATGATATTATGAAATTTTTTTTTTACATAAATATAGAAT